CTGAGCAGGGAGCCCAATGCAGGGCCTGATCCCAGGACCCTGGGATCATGACTAGAGCCAAAGGCAGATACTTAACCAACTGAGCCACCCAGGCACTTCAAGTCCAACAAGCTTTTAAACCTCTTGTCCCTTTCTTCAAGAAGCTCATATAGGAGGCAGACAAATAAGTTTAATGTCCTGTGATAACTGCAACAGTATCAGCATGTCCAAAAGTGAAAGAAAATAAGCATAAAGAAGAGTCGCGATGAGCTCTGAGAGCCTGGGGGGAGTTGGGAAGATTTTGTCAGTTTCAGCTGGTTTAAATTTATTTAAAGTGCAACTACAAAGAAAACACTTGCTTATTTCCTGGAGGCTAGGTGTATTAGTTATTCTGGCAAGGCTGAAGAATAAATTGTACTCAAGAAAAAATGTTCAGCTTTTGGTGATTGACTAATGCTCTCAGAGTCAAGACTTGACCTAAGCGGAACTGTGAACCAAAAATTGAAAATAAGGTGATGGTTGGGAAATAAGTTGAAACAAAGAGCAAGATTTGCTCAATCTGAGCCATAACCAGTATGTTAAAAGAAACAAGGAAGAAGCATTAAAAAGCATTAAAGGATGTCAGAACTGCAAGAGATCTTAGAGCTGATCTAATCTATGTTTTTCATTATGTAGGTGGAAAAAACCTCAAGTTCAGGGTCATTAAAGACCTATGTAAAGTCACAAGAAACCACTGATTGGCAGAGGGTGAGATAAAACAAGGGTGTGCAACATGATCCGACTTTATTGTTCTTTCAACTTTTTCAACATACCACAAAAGAAAAAATTGATTTTTTCTTTTCTTTACAAATAGTTGCCAAGTGATTAGATCCTAAAATAATCAAATTGAGACAAAATTAAAGTGCTGTCCAAATAGAGCCTTTACTAATCTGATGTTTTCTTCCATATGTATAAAAAAAGTAGGCTTTAAAAAATAGAATCTCAACCTTGTTGCCTGCAAGCTTGTAATATGAAGCATATGGATTCTTCTTTCATCAGAAACACAGACCATTTTGCACTCCAGGCTCCAGCTCTCTCTTAAATTGATTGCTGTCTAGCACTCATCAAATCTCTGTGGAGGGGATCATTATGAAGGGCACTTATGAGGATGTCCGCTTATTCCTACAGGTATGGAAGTTCTAAGCTTGTATCAGGCAACATCACCAGAGAGCTAAGAAATGGCATGTCAGTTTCTTGGCCCTCTCTTTGATGACATGAGTTCTAGTGTTACCCCCTTGGCATTGATGGAAGCTGACTGCAGGAAACAATCATATCAAGATTGTTTCTCTCTCTCTCTCTCTCTCTCTATATATATATATATATATATTTTTTTTTTAATAAGAGGTATTAAAGACACCATCATCTGTGTTGTTCTAGGCTCTTTGGAAAAAGATAAACATATTTTGTAATTGGTGGCAGGAAAATGTGTTTCACTCAAAGAAGTGGTATGTATACTTTTAAACTCAAGTAATAATAATCATAAAAGTCATTTTCCTTTGTGTGTAGGCTTCCACAAAGAACAGATTCAATGTTAAATGAAGCTCAATTTCATACATAAGCTTAAATTGGGGGTATACCTGCTTTTTCCACTAAAAAAATATTTCTAATCTAACAATGATATTTTCTACAAGGCTCTTACTATAAGTTATCTCAGGTCTTCTTTTGGAAGTAGTGGGGAGAAAATAATGAATAAATACATAGAACACTTCCTTTGTTTTGAGTCATTGATGACTATGCTGGTTTGTTACTGATAAACGTGAGGTTCCTGCTACACACAGCACACACTTCGGAGTTCTGGGGACACCAAGAGGTACCGGAAATGACTGCAGGCCATTAGGGTTTTGAATCCAGCTGTGGGACTCGAGCATATGTAGAGATAAACAATATCAGGTAGCAAATTCTAAAGTAATTTCAAAGATCCATTCTATCCTAAGACTCTAAGACTATTACATTAGTAATTTGGACGTTTGGTTAAAGCACATTTTGTTTTGAGTCCGCTTAATATTGTTATTTTGGCTAACACTTTTCCTGAAGGTAACTCTTTGGGTAACTCTGCTTCTGAATAAGTTTTCAAAAAAGGAATCAGCGTTCATGGTAGAAATTTGGAAAATCAAAAAAGTGTAAAGGAGCAAACTAAAATAGTGTATAATCATGCTTTGGGTTGATATTGTATAATATAACTCAATGTAGATTATTTAGTGTCCTTGCTTTTTTCACTTAACTTTATGCAGTGAGAATCCTAGATAACAGATACTCTTCAGTGACAGGATTTCTATTGTGCAACATTTCACTGAAGGACTTGCTCAACCTTCACCCTATGGCTGGAGATTAGATTGTTTCCAGCCTTGTTATCTCTACTAAATGTACTGTGATCCAAATTGTAGTAATAATGATCATGCGTTTGTGAAGCACCGTGCCAAGTGCTGTGTTAAGAACACCACATGAGAGGTGCCTGGGTGGCTCAGTGGGTTAAGCCTCTGCCTTCATCTCAGGACGTGATCTCAGGGTCCTGGGTTTGAGCCCCACATCGGGCTCTCTGCTCAGCAGGGAGCCTTCTTCCCCACCTCTCTCTGCCTGCCTCTCTGCCTACTTGTGATCTCTGTCTGTCAAATAAATAAATAAAATCTTTAAAAAAAAAAAAAAGAACGCCACATGAGGGGCTCCTGGGTGGCTCAGTGGGTTAAGCATCTGCCTTCATCTCAGGTCACGATCTCAGGGTCCTGGGATCCAATCCCGCATCGGGCTCTCTGCTTAGCAGGGAGCCTGCTTTCCACCCACCTCGAGAGCTGCTCTGCCTACTTGTGATCTCTCTCTGTCAAATCAATAAATGGAATCTTAAAAAAAAAAAAGGAGAATGCCATACGAATTTTTTAGTTTAGTCTCATAATAATCCTGTGATGTAAGAACTATTGTCTCTTGTTTATAGATAGCGTAACCAAGGAGTAGCAGTTACAGAGTCCACAGCAAAGAAGAGGATTTAACCCCTAATCTAACATAAGCAAATATTCCAACTTGTTTTTTATGGATAAGTAAATAGGACTGCTCAAAGACTCCAACTGCCTATTGAAATATGCAATTATTGGCTCCCAATTAAAAAATCTGTGGGATTTTTCTCCATTCCCTTCCTCCCTCTTTACACATTTTTTAAAGGAAGAAAGTGTCTAATGAATACTTAGTGGGTTTTGTTTTTTTTTTTTTTTTTGCTTTTTTTTTCTTTTACTATATACACTACTCTAATAAAATATGTTATGTACCCTTATGGTCCTTATTGTTCCTTTTGTTGTTATTGAGATCTAAATGACGCATAACATTATATTAGTTTCGGGTGTGTGATGTAATGATTCAGGATTTGCATATGTTGTGAAGTGACCAACACAATAAATCTAGTTAGCATCCATCACTACACATGGTCACAATTTTTTTTTCTTGTGATGAGAACTTCTATAGTTCTTATTTTGTAGCCTATAGAAGATAGTAGCAACGCAGGCTCCAGAAATGAGCCTCTCATTTTCATTGGAGGACAGAAAACCACCATAATTAAGAGAAACAACCTCTGAATATTACCATAGATTACCATATATTAGATAATACTACCATATTTGGACATGTGCAAAGTTCATATATTTTCAAGTTCCTAAAGAAACGGCACTGAAATAAACTAGCTACCTGGCTCGCTGAGGCCGGGCTCCACTCCTGCTGTGTTAACGACTAGATAAGAATGATCTGCAATCAGCTCATCATTTGATGCATTTAAAATAAGGGCTTCTAAAGTGCTTCATGATGGTTGAAATTGTTTCATTTCTTAAGCAGTTGAAACCATCCCCGTAGCTTCACGCACCCTTTTGAAATAGTGCGAAACGCGGCCTGAACTTTCACCAAGTTTCAGTTAGAGAATGAGACTTGAACGAAGCTTCAGAGTGCTCGGTGATTCTAAAACTACACCCAGCCGCTGCCTTCGGCTCAGGTCATGATCTCAGGGTCTTGGGATCGAGCCCCGCATGGGGCTCTCCGCTCAGCAGAGCCTGCTTCCCCCCCTCTGCCTGCCTCTCTGCCTACTTGTGATCTCTCTCTGTCAAATAAATTTTTAAAAATCTAAAACAACAACAACAACAACAACAACAACACTATACCGAACCTTGTCTAAGCCGAGGATTAACTCGGGTTTGCGAACGCCCGAGAGCTTCCGATCTCCTGACTTGGGCGCCCACCAACTCCTCGGTGCTGCAAATGAAGCCCTACAGGTCTGAGAAGTTAACGCATCAAGGGAGGCGCCGTCAGACGCTTACCTACTGCCTAACCCAACTGTCCGTGGAGAAACCACCTTCGCTTTTCCGGGCGAGAGGCCGCGGGGTGCCCCCATCCCACAGGGCGGGCGAGTCGCGGTCCTTCAAGGGATGGGGTAGCCGCCCTCGCTGGTCTGCGCCCCTCCCGCCCCAGGCCCCATCCCGAGCGTCAGGGGTCTTGGGCGGCTTCGCCTTCCGCCAGCAGGAGCAGCAGCAGCAGCAGCAGCAGCACGAGCAGGAGCAGGAGCGGCTCCAGGGCGCTCCGGGGCGGCTGCCCGGCCCCGGGGGCGGCGGGAGCGCGGCGGGTGGCGGCGGCAGCGGGGGCGGGCGGCAGAGGCCGGCGTTGCCAGGGCGCGCGCGGTGTGCGTCCCTAGCAGCCGCCTGCCCACGTCAAGGTTTGTTTAATAATCGCCGCGGTATTTATGGCGGGGGCTGCGCGCGGCCGCGGGGGAGCGAGAGACCGCGCCGGGCGGCGGATGAGGCGCGGCGGCTGCGGCCCAGGGCACCTCCCCGCCTCCCGGCTTGCCGAACCCTGCCGGCTCTGACCCGAGGCGGAGGATGGCAGCAGCAGCCGCGCTCTGAGCCCCTCCGGAGAAGAACACCCTTCCCGCCGCATCGCCCCAGGGGCCCGCGGAGGCCGCCGCCTCGTCCCCTCCACGTCTCCATCTCCCAGAGCGCGGCCGAGCGGAAAAGTGAGCGATGGCAGAAAACCTGAGGAAACTGGTCTCGAGCGAAACTTTGCGACTGATGCACGACAAGCTAGACGGCTGGCTGAGGGAGTACAACGTGAGTCCGGGTGGGACAGCCCCGGGCTCGCCGTCTCTTTAGCTGCTGGCACAGCCCTCTCAGCGCTGGCTCGGGGCGGTCGCTTGGCAAAGCCCCGGCGGGCGAGATTCCTCATCGCGACAGCGTCTCGAACCCGGATCGCGGGGGAGGGAGGAAGGGCACGGGCCTGCCGGTGCAGTTTTCTCCCCTCCGCGCCAGGGGGCGCTGGTGGTGGGGGGGGGGGGGACGGGGCTCGCAGAGCGCAGACTCAGCGTCGGTGCGGACAAAGCGCCTTCGGCCCAGCGGTAACCAAGGACGCTGGCGGCCCTAGCAACGGCAAAGACCACAGTCCGCCAGAGCTCCAGCCTGTGGCTTTCTCTCCCATCCCCTCCGTTAGCAACCCACCTCTCTATCCCTAACTCGATTTTTTTTTTTTTAAACTACACCCCTGGTCGTGCCTCTCCTCACGTCTCAGGATACTCAGGGATTGTATCACAATGAATTTTTATAAAAATACTCCCAGGAGTTATTACTCAGATGTCAGTGAGATGGACACTTGTCAACGTTGCGGGTTTCACTTGTGTGCTGGTCAGTATGGCAAGTAGGCACAATTCCACACCAAGGCAGAGAATTCAGGAGGCCTGTTACCAAGGCATTTGTAGGAAGCCAATATTCTGTCATCAAACCCGTAGAGCTCCTCAAGTCTCATTAATCCCCACCCCCACTCCGGCTCGCGTTAACCTGCCCCGCACATTAAGTACAACTCGGTGTTGCAATTGCTGGGTTTGATCTGTCCGTCTTAAATAGGAGGGTCCCACTCATAAAGTGGAACCGGGAGACAGAGCTGGGCATGCGTGGACCCGGAATGAGCCCGGGTTCTGGGTCTGGCTCTAGATAGTACCAGCTGAATTCCCTGGGGGAATTTATTTCACCTCTGTGGGTCTCAGTACCTCTTCTGCTAAATAGGACAGATTCACTCAACCAGATCTCAATTTTTTTTTGGAATTTAAATTGGCTTGTTTCTGAAATCCTACCAGGAAGAATGCAACTGGATGCGGTCTGAGTCTCTAGGCTTTCCCATTCACCCTTTGACCAGGGCTCCTGTGGTGGAGGAGAACTCAAAGAACACCCACAACTTTCTCCTTGCCCACTGTGTAGTGTTCATATTTACTATCTTTGCCCACCTTTAAAGAATTAGCACTGTGACTATTCCTTCCCCATCAAGATTGCAGGAAAATTAGAATTTACCTCTTCCTACCTCTTACAGCCTATTCTGTCTTCCTTTTCCCCTTCCCCCATTCCTTCCTTCCTTCCTCCCACCCCACCCTCTTCCTTTCATTATTACCCCTTGGCCTAAATAAACTCTGAATGTTAAAAAGGATATTTAGTTTGGGGGTGCCTGACTGGCTCAGTTGGTAGAACATGGGACTCCTTATTTTGGGATTGTAAGTTTGAGCTCCATATTGGCTGTAGAGATGACTTAAAAAAAAATATATATATATATATTTTACAAAATGTATATTCAGTTTGTCACAAGACAGGGTTTAACACAAATCACACTAACATTTGACTGGACCAAGTATAATAATATTGAGAAATGCCAAAGTTTATTACACTTTCCTTTCTCAGTAATGGTAGACCCCCCTGCTCCTCTATTGTCACTGAAATCATTCCAGTCTAGATTCTCTCCCCCAGGCTAAGCTCTTCCCCCACCTTCATAGAAACTGCCGTCTTGGAGACCAATGCCTTTCCAAAAAAATCTGTGGCCATTTCCCCATGCAATCATTTTCTTGGACTATCTAGTGTTTCTGTTGCCTTTGACTGTTGACATCTCTATTCTTCTAAGGCTCAAATAATTGGTCTCCTTGCCTTACCCACTTTCCTTCTATGGCAGTTCTTTAAGACTTTAGGAATCTTCTCTGGGGCCTCCATTCTTGCTTCTCTCTTACACATATGTCCACGAATCTCATATCTATATTCAGGACATTTTCTCATTTGAGCTCACTTCTCTGATTGCCCATTAGACATTTTTAGTTGTACTATCATCATCTTGAAGTCAAATCAGTCTAAAACCTAACCTTAGCTACGCCCGTGCCGTGAACACTGGCCTCCTTCTTTCCTTCACTGTTTTCAGCATGACACACCCCACAACCTTTTCACCAGCTGAATCTGTTGGTACCTACTTCGAAATTCACACAGAACCCTTTCACCACCTATGCTGTAACCATCCTTGTCCATCTTCCATCATTGTTCATCTAGATATAAACATATTTCAGAGAGATTCTTCTAAATGTCAAGTGAGATGAAGTTACTTCTCTGATAGAGTCCTCAGACTTCTGTCCCACTCAGAATAAAAGCCAAAGTTCCTACAATGGCCATTAAAGTCCTACACAATTGTGCTCCTTTAAACTTTGACCTCATCTGTTACTCCCTTCCTCAATCTACTCTAGCAATACTGATCTAGTTGCTGTTTCTGGAGCAAAGCTGTCCAGTAGAACTTTCTATGACGGACTTGTTCTATACAGGCATTGTCCAATATGGTGGCTATTTGGTACTTGAGTTGTGGTAAGTACAAACTGAGAAATGAATTTTAAATTTTAAATTTATTTATTTTTAAAGATTTTATTTGTTTATTTGACAGAGAGAGATCACAAGGAGGCAGAGAGGCAGGCAGAGAGCGGGGGTGGGGGGTGGGTGGGTGGGAAGCAGGCTCCCTGCTGAGCCGAAAGCCCGATTCAGGGCTCGATCCCAGGACCCTGGGATCACAACCGGAGCCGAAGGTAGAGGCCCAACGCACTGAGCCACCCAGGCGCCCCTAAATTTAAAATTTAAATGAATTTTAAATTTCATTTAAATTAAAAAAATTAAAATTCATTTAAGTTTAAATAATTTAAATTTGAATAGTCACATATGACTAGTGGTTACTCTATTGGGCAGAAGAGTCTAGAGCCCATCAGCTGGTCTCATGCTTCAGGGCATTTTCACTTCTTGTTCCTCTCTGCCTGGAAAACTTTTGCCTGTGGGTATTTCAGTAAGCTACCAACAGCTTTGCTTTCTATCCTCCTTCAAGTGTGCTTAAATATCACCTTCTCAGGAGAGACCATCCTGTTCACAACTGCCATCTCCTACCCCTGCCCCTGGCACACTGTGTCCCTTCTCTGCTTTGTTTCTTCTGTAATAAATGCATCTTCTTATTTTTACTCATTCTTTTATTTTATTGTCAATCTTTCCTCCCTCTCTTCCCACTAAAATGTAAGCTCCAGAGGGCAGAGAGTTCTCCCTTTTCTGCTTATCTCTGTATTCCCAGCACTTAGAATAATGTGTGCCTCCTAGAAATTGTTCAATTAAATAATGACTGACTGAACGCCACCACCATTCTCCCACACACCTGGGTTCTGGGACACATTTGTTTTCTTAAAACCTCATATCCAGTGTAGAATTAAAGGTGATCCCCAAATATCTTTAATTCAGCCTTTATTAAAATTGATTTGAAACCAAAGCCATGATTTCCAAGTAGGGGCACAATTGAGAGTGTACAAGTGTTTTTAATTGTGTGTGTGTGTTTCTGTATGTATGTGTAGCTAAAGAGAGAGGATAAGAAAATATGTATATACACCTACCAAAATTAAGGTTACCTCTAGACTTTTTCAGTAACTTGTCGCCTACAGGGTGGGTTTTGGTCAATGGCTTAGAGGTTCTCTGTAATACAGCAAGTTTGTTTTAATAGTTGCGAGGACTTTTTCCTTGAAACCTTAAGATGAAGAGTAGTTGTAGCAAACTGTTTATTAAATGTTGGTTATAGAGGTTTATTCATTAAAAGCTTTAAATTATATTTGCTATGGAAAGTTGATTTTGCTGACTGTGATCACATTGATTTAGTTCTAGTTAACTCAAGCAAAATAAAAGACCATAAATACCACTCTAGAATTAAGAATGTGATTAAAGTTATCTCCTTAGGAAAAAGTTATTTTCAGTGAAAAAGATCAATGATTTGAACAGATTAGTTCTAAAACACAATGCAAAATTTTCATTTTCCTTTAAATGAGTCATTATTGGGATTAATAGATCTTAGTTAATTTTTTTTATTTCTCTTAATTTCCTTCATAGGGCTTCCCATTTCCTCTGCCTTAATCTGTCCACCAACACTCTTTTCCTTGTGTCCTATGTATGTTGTCAGACACAGTAAATTTTTTAAAAAAATGTAATTTTCTGCCCCAAAGCCTTTGTTTTTTATTTGTTGGCTAGTTTTTAATCCTACAACATCTAGCAATCTTCTGGGCCCTACACAAAACCACTATTTGCTTGATTTTTTTAAAAAGATTTATTTATTTAAAATGACTCCAAGAAGGGATATTTTTCCAAACCTTGCTAGAGAAACACAATAAAAACAAAAGCAAACATTGCAAATTCACTTTCTTTTAGTTATTAAAGAAAAGCTGAAGTATTGTATTACTTGGTCTTTAAACCTTGGATTGCATTGGCTGTTCAAGGACAGCTTGGTACAAACATGTAACTTTCAGAATTGTTTTTCCTCCTGTGTGGTTACTGAGAATGTTGACAAAAGGGCCATAGAAAATCTCTTCTTGTTCAACCAAGAACTGAGCCAGTTTTTAAGGGCTTAATAATTCATTCAATAAACTGTTACTTAACTTCTGCATTGTGTGAACCTTTGGCCTAGACATTCTATATGTACGCTTTTGGCAGTGTACTTTTATTTATTTATTTATTTTTTGAAGATTTTCATTTATTTATTTGACAGACAGAGATCACAAGTAGGCAGAGAAGCAGGCAGAGAGAGAGAGAGGGGAAGCAGGCTCCCTGCTGAGCAGAGAGCCCAATGTGGGCTCGATCCCAGCACCTTGGGATCACGACCCGAGCTGAAGGTAGAGGCCTTAACCCACTGAGCCACCCAGGCGCCCACTTTTGGCAATGTACCTTTACTGATTAACTAATTCATTCAACAAAATATTTTTGCAGAGTTTATGATATGTCTCTCTGTGCTAGATGCTGGGAATGGAAAT